CGCACGTGCTTTTATAGCTTCCCGGTCATGACGTCATCCGCCGTGACGTCCCGCTCAGCTATTGGACTGATTTCACATGTGATTCAGAGCGTGGGTCACTGAAGGCGTTCCCCTAGCGTTCTCGACGCAGCTCGAGTTCCTGAAGAGGAACCTTTATTCACCCTCAAACCTGTATTCAAACAGTTTTTCTCCATGAAATGAAAGACAATGGGGTCCAAAACAACACTGGACACAACACTGGACAATCTGACATCCATTGTATAGTCAAAAAACACTGAGGCATTTTTTCACAGGAAAAATATTTTCATACAAGTTTAGGTGAACATGACGGTGAGTAAATGATGACAGGACTTTCATTTTGGGATGTATTATTATTAGGGGTGTACCAAAACTGTACCGAACCGTGACATCAAAACCGAGGTATGTACCGAACCATCTTGTTTGTGTACCATTACACCCCTAATTATTATTATTATTAACATCAGATAGCCTTTCTTAGAGATGAAAAAAGTAATAATTCTGACATTATTTTGAGATGCCTAAATAGATTTAAGCACAGTTTATGTCTTTTTAAAAACCTCAGTGCTCATTTTTGTGCTTCAAGGATGGTACAAAAGACACTTGCATTTTAATTCAGTAACACAGGTGCAGTATACTGTACTGCATTATTATGGATAGACTTCACAAATCCAATTTCAGGCCTAGTGCAGTTTTGCACATGATTTATTCACTGGCATGAATTCATGTTACAAGTGCATCTTTTAATCTGTGCACATGTACTGAAGTGTAGCACAAACTTTTAATGAATTGTAGTTTTGTGAAGGATGAAAAAAGAATGTGTAGAAAGCACAGAAATCCTTTACCCTTTGAACAATACTATACCATTTAAGAGCATTGAAGTGTGAGATGAATGCACTGGAGGTCAAGTACTCTGTTAGGGTGCTTTCATGCTTGGTTTGATTGCCTGTCGATTGCCAATCGAACCCAGGTGCTCACCAAAAGTGCTAGTGTGAAAGCACCCTTAGCTTCATCAGTGGCTTTGATCATGCATTGACTATATATGCTTAAAGCTTTACTTTCCCAAAGCGGTCACTTAATAGTGTTGAGATTGAGCTATACATCAGGAGACCTTGGGTTTATAAAAAAATCATAAAAAGTTAGGGAAAAACTGGGTGGCCAATTGGCTATAGACAGTTATGGTGCATTATAAACATAACAGAAACTGATTTCTGCCAAGTGTGAACAAAATTAAGCCTACCTGCCAACCAGTTGGTGAAGAAGTGCTGCAGCAGTGTGGCAGGAACACACACTATGGATATCAGGAGGTCACTGAGTGCCAGAGAGCAAATGAAGAAGGTGCTGGGAGACTGCAGAGCCTTCCTGCGACATAAGAGAACCAGCACCGCCCCGTTTCCCACCACTGCAAGCGCAAAGATGAGCACGTAGAGCAGGCCAAAAATTGGAAGCAGGGCGCTAGCGAGTCTGGGCACTGCCACCAGAGGAGGAATGGAGAATTCCTGGATGAACTGCCAGCGAGAGAGGTTGGAAGCCTTCAACATGAGGTCCAGAAGATGGGCAGTCAGGTTCATACTAATGAAGGTCAAGGGTTTTAGCTGTTTGTAGAACAACAGTATGTTTGATTCTTCAGTTGTAGTGCCAGCTGTGGTGTAGCAACTTGTTTTAACAATCTGTGGAGTCTGATCTTCACAATTTCTACAGAGAGCCTGTTTAAGTTACATTAATGAATGGTTATGTGTGCTGTATTGATCTGTTTCTCTTTGTAAATTACGGATTACAGGCATTTTTCATGGTTGTTCCTTTTTGTTGATGAAAGCATGCCTTTATCTCATTCCTATTAAGGATATGCTTAGTGAGCATTGATTTTAAGTCACTGGGGACAATCTATCGTGGCTGCTACTCTGCTTGACAAAAACCTCTTCAGTCAAAAGTTGTGTGATACCAGCATTATAATGATGCCCCACTGTTCACTCTCAGTATGTCAGTAGAATGTCCTTTAGCTGTTCCAGCTCCTTCTTGCTGATGCCTGATATCACATTGTCTCATGACTCATTTTTGCACAATCCTTATCTTCACAGTCCGGGTGTCTGTAATTTGTATTGCTTTCTCCATTCTGGATTGAGTTTAGACAATCTTCGCCTTGTAATCTTGCAATATGCTGACAAATCAACAAACATGGTTCGTTTCAGATGACTTGTATGTCCTTGTCATGAGAACACAGTCCAAACTTTTGGGTAAAATCTACTTTCAATATATAGGTTACTCAAAATAAGCAAAATCTAAAATATGATGATAGTGAGAGGTTAGTCCTCTTTTTACTCCGTATTTATTATTATTGTTGTTGTTATTATTATTTTAATTTTAATGAAATGTTTGACTTTATACTTACTGAGGTACTGTCCTTGAGACAACGTCACCTTCTAGCAACTTGCACCGTTCTCCCCTATATTAATATAATATTCTATTAAAACTATACTGTGGTTATACAATAGTAAAACAGTAAATTGGATTAACATTACATAAAAATATTGTTTGCGCATTTTTGGGTCTATTTCATGCTAAATAAACAAGCAAATAAATATCGATTATGATTAGCTAATGAATGCATCGATGATGTAAATATCAAGTATAATAACTTTTTATATTTACATCCCAAAATACGGGACGAGAGATTTTAAGATTTTTGCCATGTACAATAGTTAATTAAAAACAAAGTTAATAATGTTAATAAAATGTTAATGTTCCATTAACTAAAAAGTGATACACGCTTGTCAAAAGGTTACGACTGCAGTTAAAAAACGCTAAACCAACAGATATTCTTAAAAAAACAACAATTGAAATCGAATCATCCTCGCATCTAGACAGGCGAGTCGAGATGGTGTTATGAAGTAACTAATAAATAATCCACACATTTTCTTTCAACAGATTACACAAATGATGGCAAATGTTTCCATTCTCTGTTTTAAAGACAGATGTTTCACACAAATAGCCCGCGCTGTGATCTGATCCGGTGGCTCGTTATTCCTTCAAAGTTTCTCCGACGCTCGTTTAAACTTCTCCTTTCATCATCTTATTGAACGGCTCTGAGACACTTTGGAAACCGTCCTCTGCTCCTCATCAACAGCTAGCGCGTTTTATCTATGTATTTATTTCTTACCTGGAATTAGTCAGTCATGACTTCCTCTTGCAAGACAGCAACAAACACTGACAGTCCAACATTCAACTACTGTAGGTGTAATCAGGTGACAGCAGTAGCTACTGCTGTGCTGAAAACACTCCCCTGGGCTGTGACGCTTCATATTCATTTTTCATCCATCCGTCCGTCCGTCCGTCCATCCATCTATCTATCTATCCATCTATCTATCTATCTATCGGTGGTGTGCGGTGGTGTTCGGAAATGAGGAGCCGAAGTCCTCAAAGTTAGTATTTTTATTTATTTTTTATTTTTTATCAAATGTACATTCATGTCCCAGTCACATTTTCTTGGTTAAGTAAACATTACTTACACTACCAGAAAACAACAACAAAAAAACTCTATTTTATATTTTTACATGAACAATGTAATCAATATTCTGTTTATTAAAGCCAAGTGAATCTCATCAATTTAGTGTTTTTAAGCATTTTAAATTTATTCCAAAATAATAATTCAAGGCAGTAAAAATGTAAACAATAAATATATTATATTTTTTACATTTAAGGTATTTAGGTATTTAAGGTACCCATATTGTCAAAACTGAAATTTCCTGCCTTTTTTCACGATTACTGAGGTCTAGGGGCATGTGACCTATTCTGTGTCCTCAACTCCTGAAACATTGGTGTCTCATATTTTAAATATGCATATGTGGGAAAATATTCAGATGTAACTCCCTTTGTAATCATTAACATTTTCATAAGTAACTGATTTAATTACACATTTTTTTCGCAGTAACTGTAACAGATCACAGTTACATTTATTTTGCAATTAAATTACGTAAAGTAGTTACATGTAACTAGTTACTCCCCAACACTGGACAGGTCTGATGATAAAAAGCCCATGCATGGGCCACTGGATTTTTCAAGTGTTGTAATGGAATTGGCAGATGGGGGAAGAAACAGGGACGTTCGCAAACTGGCTCCGACGAATGTCCTCCGAACGTCCGCCAGCGAACTTTAAAAAGAGGACCAAATGCGGACGTAAGTGGACGTCCTCAAAACGGACGTTCGGAACGACGTACAGACAAAAAACGTTAACGTTATGGTTAAACGCGATAAAACGAGCAGACTGGACAGAAAGGATCGTAAAAAATGCTCACGTTTGCAGCGCACACTTATCAGAAATGGTTCAATAAAGTATTGTCTTTTGTTGTTATGGACGTGTCTACAGATTTCTTGCCATATGTTTTCTTGCATCTCACGAGTATGTCCTGCATGAAATAATGTCTGTGTGCATGTGTGTAAAACAACAAACTG